ATGAGGGTTTGTTATCCTGAAAGAGGTAAAGCTTCACTTCTGATTAGAATAACTGCAAACAGATCTCTCAGTTGCGATGCCACCGAATTATATCAGTTCCAGCAACTATTTGCGAGGCGAAACCACGCTCGTCACGCATCTTGGCTTGTTGCATTTAATTGAAATTTAAGTTCAATTCAACGGGCTTTATTTTTACATCGTTGCCAAAAATGGTAACCGTGCTGGACACATTTTTGCTGTGCACAGTGAGAGTGTGCGTGGGATGCGCGGTGACCCAGCGCAGTTCGCATATTTCGAGGAAAATGTCCTTCGTGTCTGTCTCATGCTGTGATGTTTTTCTGGTGCGATAAGAACATTACACTCCCTGTTTGTGTCCGACCATTGCAAGTACCGCGTGCTGAACAACTCTCGGAGGAAATGTATTGGCGGCCATGGTCTAAACTAGTTATGACTCGTTCTGAACCGGTTCGTGCTTGTTGGAATCGTTAACCGAACCGGAACAATATACAAAGTGATTAAACCCGAACACGAAGAGAACCGGATTAATAACACGTTTGGCATCCTGCACATTTCATTACTCGGAGAATCATGCCCGACCTTCTTAATAATTCAAGCGCGCATGTGCTTGAATTTTGTTGTTATTGCGTCGTCCGCCTAAAATCGCCTTTTTAAGAACTTCTCGTAGTTGTAAACAACTTATATCTCAGGCACATGCGCCGAAAAGTCCGAGAAAAAGAACAAACAGTTCCCGTCGAAAAAACTTAATAAAATTCCTTATGCAGTTACTTGTATATAGTATGCTATATATAATACCCATCGCCGCACCTGCCATCTAGGACGCGTATGGAAGCCGTCCTGCACTTGCGCAGAACAATTCTGACTATTCCCTCTACATTCCACGAAGTGCGCACTTGCATTTTTTTTAACCTCCTCCTGGCGAAGTTATAAAGGGATGCCAACGGAAATGTATCTACAACGATATGCAAACACAAAAAAAGTTAAAACTCTATTTCCCGGGGGTGGTTACCATTTGAGCCCGTTCTCGTTTCGACCTTCTCCTTTGGCCCTTCTCAAAACAACCATTCTCAAAAAGATCTTCTCGCTTTGACCCGTCGTATTCGGCCCTTTCCCGTTTCGTCTTTCGCATTCCAACCCTCCTCATTTGTGCCCGTTCTCGTTTCGCCCTTTTCACCTGGCCCTTTTCGAAACAGCCATTCTCAAAAATATCTCGCTTTGACCCGTCGCACTTGACTCTTTCTATACCAAACTCGTTTTTTTAGGGTAATATTAATGCATTGATATGCATTGTGCGTGTGTGTGTGTGTGTGTGTGTGTGTGTGTGTGTGTGTGTGTGTGTGTGTGTGTGTGTGCCATACTACAGGCACACTCTCTCTGCTAAGGATCTTAGCAGTGCGCCGAGGTCGTCGTGAAAAGCTACTAGCTGACAATAAAACAGACCAACTATTTATCGCAGCCAGATCATATTCCGAAATGTCACGTTGTTTGAGGTCTCTCGATTTGGGACAAGGCCACCACTTCTATGATGCAGTGGTTCTCAAAAGGGGGTCTGCGAAGACATCCTAGGGGTCCGCAAAGCCCTGTCTCATCAGTCAGGCACGGCAATATTAGTTGTCTTTCTTCACGTTGAGAAGAAACGTTCCAATTTTCGGGAGAGTCCTCTCGTGTGTATGTCAATGAGATAAGTCTACTTTACACTAGCAATTAGTTATATCCATTTATTGAATCATTATCATGATAACTTATACACTGTAAAAAATTTCCGTAATTTTACAAACACTTTTGTCGTAATTCTGACGGACTCTGTGTCCGTTTCTTAGTTAACGGACATAAAACCCGTTTTTTGCTACATCGAACCAGCAACTTTTTCCGTAAAATGGGGCGAAAATTGTTTGCAGTGATAGGTAGAATAAAATTGCATACAGTTGTGTGTCAATGCATACTATAGTAGAAGATAAAAGCGTTAAATGTGCTTTTAACGTTTAATCCTGCTAAAAGCAATTCCTTATAGTAAAGAGGCTAAGGGCTACCAAGAATCCTACCGTACCCTGCAAAAGGAACAGATAAAAGGGGCGATGGAAAAAACCGAATAGAAATTAAGTAAAAGTTCATAATTCCCAGTAAAGCACATAGGCACTGCTTTACTTCACTGAGGGTGAAGCTGACGAGTTGCATGTCTACAGAAGTTTTCGGCCTTGTGATGATTGTTAGGGGGGTTCTGCATGAGTGCAAAAAGAGAGATTGCCAGAACAGTGAAGACCACACCAAGAAGGAATGCTGTTGCTCCATGGTAGGAAACAGTTGAAAGGCACCGGCACAATTCTTGCGAAAAACTCCCTTCAGTGTTGTCTCGTGACCTTGCAGTTCGACAACATTGTCTGAGGCAGAATAAGACGACCCACTAAAGGGCCACACTTGAGGTCACCTCTGGCCCACCAGTGAAGGGCCAGAATTCCAGCCAATGTCAGAGCAGTGAGTGATCCGTAGAGAGCTTGGCTGCCGAAGAATAGCGTAGGCTGCCCCCTTTTGCTGAACACTTTCACCTGATCTTACAAGATCAACCTCATAGGAGTCTCATATAGAGCTGCAATACTTTAGGTGTGGCAGGACCAGGGCTGTGGAACACACCTAAGTGTGCTATGGCCGGTTCCACTGGATACGCTTGCTGCTGCGCCAGAAAACTCCAAATTCATTCATTCATCGACTGGATACGCGAAGTAAAAGACCCAGTGTTCCGCATGTTTTGGACAAAACTACTTAAAATGCTATGTGAAGAAGCATAAGTGGTTGTTTATAGTAGACCTTGTCGATGTTGTTCTGCAAACCCTTGTGGTTTCTGGTCATCCGTAGCAGCAGGGGAGTCGATATCAGGCAGGCATTATCACGATTAATAAACATGTTGAGAACAATTGCACTGAGCACACTGTCCCGTTGAACTGTCGAGCGTATGGGCCACTGGAAATGGTTCCATGGTATACACTGCACTCTGAGCGACTCAACTGGAAGACTTCTAGTATGCACACATTTAATTAATTTGTGTTAATCAGCACCAGTGGCACGCTGGGCAAATCGTAGGACTCAGCTTTCACGGAAGCCGGGCATCACGCACAGCATAGCAACACCTTGCCATGCTTGTGGGAGGTTCCAGCTTCAGGTTACGGCGTCACCAAAAGGGTAATGGTAAAGGTACCACGACTAGCACACCTCCACAGTTCTTAGCACAATCTTTTCTGTAAGCAGTGTGCTCCACTGTAGCAATCGACAATGTGACTGTCATAAACCGAATCCTGCATCCACGCTTTACATACCGCTAAAACTGTTGAGGGATGCGTCTCGTGGAGTGAGTGAAGGTGCAGCAGCTTATTTGGGACCAAGTGCCCTGTTTGAGAACCACACTGCGAGTTGAAGCAAGGCAAACCAGGGTGTGCAGGGATGAGATTCGTCCGGGTGGGCCAGGGTGGTGGAACACGTGGGGCAGCGTCACTGGTTGCCTGGGCAGGCCAGCGTACGGTGCCTGTACTTGAGACAGTCGTTGCAATGATGGGCTCGAGGTTTGAGGGGACGGCAGCGAAATTCGAGGCGACGGTAGTACACTGTGTAAGGGACATGGGTTCCGATGAAGGTGATGATGGCTGAACCTGTTGTGTCCATTTTCCTTGCGTGAAGGAGCTGTGCGGGAAGCTGTGCGGCTTTGCAAGAACGCCGGCAAAATGCCAAGAGGCTGCACAGCTGCGCCAGTAGGGAGGATTGGGAGATGCACTATAGCTGCGTGAAGTTCGGGGTTGGGGTGGGCCGAAAGACGAGATTCGCGGGGCTTTCGAGGGGTGATCCATTTCCCACCTAGCTCATCTCCCTCTAGGGGGATTTCCACGTCCTGGCTCAGGATGGATGCAGAGATATTGGTGAGCTGCGATGCGGCGGTGTCGGCTGAAGCCATATTCGAAGCGGAAACGGGCGCGCCGCTCACAGAACGAGACTCGAGCAAGCCAATCTCTCGCTGGACGTGCTGCGGCGGGCCGACAGTGCGAGGCGATATTTATACCAGTATCACGTACAGTTCTTAGGGTTTGCGGAGCCCGGAAAAGACGTCCGTTCTCGTCGGAAAATCGCAGCAGTCTCCGGACGCTGAAGGTAAGAGCGTTCACATCGAAGAGCTCACCATTGAAGGGGGGCTACTGAGGTTTTAAGAGCCACTGATCGTAGTAATGGCATTCCAAAGACACCGCGTTGTCGTAAATTGTTTTTCAACGGCTACGTCATATACGGCTGAGGCCAGGGCTTGGGGATCCATCGCCGGAAACGTGGAGGCACCAAGCAACGACGTGAGGCTTGCCGAGTCGGTTCGTCGGTGCCGACGACGTCCGAGCAACCCTAGTGGGGGCCTTGCTTCCAGGAAGACTGGATATTCTTTCCGGCGAGCAGCATGCTTGTTGCTGATGCGGATCGCAGGAGGTGGATAACAAGACAACCGATGCACAGCAAATAGGTCGAGCACGCTACATGGGACAGTGGTGGTCGCCGCCATGATAAACTGAAACGAAACCGAGTTGGCCAAGCCTGGCCAAGCTTCAGTTTAGTACACAATGCACTACAACATGGTTTATTACAAATAATTATATAAACGTTAAAACAACTTTCTGTATTTGAAAATTTGAAATTCAGTTGACTAAAACAAGCACATTTATGTTGCGTCAAATGAGCTTGGCCAGAACCACGGTGGCCGGAACCAACGAGCATCGCCGCGTCGTTATCACCATCGTAACAAAACACAAAAACAAAGCGAGTTTCAAACTTTCGGGCGTAATGTTGGGCACTTTTAATCTTTCGGAAAAGAACATCGAAGAACGTTCTTGGAAAAAGAAAGTGTATTAGGTGCCGGCGGGCCCGTGGAACCAGCTGTGGAGTTAAGTCTAATTGGTGAGTGCTCCCCGATTCGTTTTACTTCTTCAATCCTTTCTGTTCGGAGCGTTTATGTCGTGTTCTTGTGTGTGCAGGCGGCGTGAAAGCGACCGTGAGCGGTTCCTTGTCACACACGTGCGTTCCGCATTGGATGGCCCTCGAGCTTTTGCCAAGGAAGTCCCTGAACCGATCTGTCACTGAGCGAGCAGTCAGATTGCGGGAAGGCACCCAGAGGCAAAGGTTCCACCGGAGGCAGCTGGGGCGGCCGAGCGAGGCACTTGGTGATTATATCGGAGCTTCATCTCGTAGATCGGTAAACAAGGCTTGACTGCTGCAAATCGCGTGGTGTCTTGGTATCGCCTAGCTAGGCGGTGTGTTTTGCAGAACCCATGACTGGTAAAAGTACCCGTTAGCGTGCTGGCGCGCGTATTAGCTTCCACTGTGGGGGGTTGGATTCTAGTTCGTTTTTTGTTTTCGGAAACTGCTCGAAACAATGCGTGACGTGCGCCTTTAGAGGTAGGGTACGTATTGATGATGTTGTTTGCGGAGAGTATAAAGAGTTCTTATTCGACTGGGGCACTGACTTTCTATACAAAATCCTGTATATGTTGCGCTTATTTACTAACCCTCTGGCAGTACTTAATTGAGAAGGTTGGAAGAAAAAACAAAAACGCGCATTGAGTAGTGACAACAGAAACAGAAAAAAGGTGTTTTAAACAACTTCCTCTAAAGACCATGAACTGATTTTCAAACCACCACCTCCTCACTTCATAAGCAAGCGAGAAATCATGTGGTGGTATTTCACTGGAACCCAAAGTTTTCCCACCAGTCTGACAGTCGGCAAGGGCAAAGCCCTCGATAAAATTCAAGCTTCACATTTTCGCAAGTGCCGACAACCATAAAGTATAAACCGCAGGCTTGTAGCCAGGATTTTGTTTCGGAAGGGGGGGGGGCGGGGGGGGAGGAGGGGGGGGGGGGGGGCTCGCCCATTGCAAAATGCTGTATGAGGGGTAGGGGGGAGAGGAGGCCACAGCAAAATGGAAGATTTTTTTGGGGGGGAGGGGGGGGGGCCCATGCCTTCCCCCCCCCCCCCCCTGGCTACGTGCCTGATAAACCGCATGTAAGCAATTTAGCGAGCAACGAGACAAATGATGCCAACCCTTTTCGCAATCGCTCGATCAGCCGCACGACGAGGCGAATCACACGAAAACGACGGGAACAAGCGACCAAGGCGACGAGCAACGTTTTCTAGAAATCGAAAAACCGAGCTACAGTGAGAAATCTTCGTCGCTTGCTAAATCGCGTACATGCGGTTCAGCCTTAATTGTGTAAGCTCGAGAGACGGTGCCACCCACTTCCAAGTGCCTTTCATTTCAGAGCTAAACTGCCATACCCTGCAGCGACCGTCCAGCGTTTCAAAGCGCCCAATCAGTGGAAACAACCCACCAGCGCCACTCCAAGGAGCGCTGTTGCCGGCTCTCTGGTATCGCGCAGGAGATCGCGATTCAGGAAAACCGATAGAACTACCATTTCTAAAATTTCCAGCCTCACCCGGCGGCGGAAACGAACCTTCAACTAAGTGTTGTAGACGATAAAATCGAGTCAGTCACCACTGCAAATTATCAATATTAAGATATATTCAGTTACAAAATTTTACTAGCTGAAACAGCAGTTATCACCAGAAAACTCGCACGCACCTTGCGAGCGTACCCCATGTTCATTGGCGATACAGCGTTCGGTGCGCGCTCCATTCACGAAAAATGTTCCGAGCACAGTCGAGAGGTTGGCGTTGAGGAAACGCCTTTTCGGTTCACGGACGCAATCCACTGCCGCCTGAAACCGGGGTCATGTGGAAAGCATGGAGCTTAAACGCCGTTCACACTCTTGCGACCGTGTACGACCGAGAGAGACCAGACTGGTTTTTAAGCCTTTTGCGACTTCTTAGGACCGGGTGGGCTGCAGCGCCGAGGTGGTCCTAAGAGATCGCAAGAAGCTTAAAAAGCGGTCTGGTCTCTCTCGGTCTTACTCGGTCGCAAGAGTGTGACCGGGCCTTTAAAGACCATTGCAGCCGCTCTCGCCTTGCCGGATTCCTTGCAAGCTACATAGGTCTTCCGACAGTATTCAGCGCTTTCTGTTTTTATTCGAGCACCCTATGACCGAGCAATGGTGTCCCGATGACTGGGGGACTGTTGCCATCGAAGCCCGTAGCTGTAATTAAGTGTGCGAGTTTAAAACAGAAAAGAAGGTGCGAACGAAGTTGGGGCACTGCAGACACCCAACACCGGCCAAGCCTCTCATCCGGGAGTTTCACTCTTTCTACACAACCAGAAAGGGGGAAAGCGCCGGTAGCTTTCCCCTTTTCTCTCTCGCCCTCTTTCAGTAAAACGGTCTATACAGCCGTCCGTGAACCGTTTAGGATGAGTGTAGCTCATCCGCGCAGCATACCTTACCCCTTGTTTCTTTTTGGGCGTCCCAGGTTTGTTCTGAGCATACCTCTCGTTGTAGCTTTCGAAGCTGCTTAGAGATGGCAGCACGCATTTTTTTACTGTGCAGGTTTTTAAGAATGGTGACTGATTGTGGAAACATGTGCGGCCTGGGCCGTACGTGCAATAAAAATAAAATAAAATAAAAAGCTAGAGGAAAGAAAAAAGTTGAGTGGTTACGGTGAACAATGTGCAACATTATTATGCATTTTCCTCGTTCCTTTGAGAATATCTAACTGGATACAAGACACACTTTCATGATGTGCAGGCAACGTCAACAGAAATGTTGAGTGCAGACTTTGCAGTCTACTTATGACCGATTCACACGACGAGCTTATCTGCAGATGGATTGATCACTTGCAAGACGTCCACGGAACGTCAGTCCCCCAAGTGCGTCCACACGGAGGAGACGAGCTAATGACAGCGAGGACAGACTGAACCTTTTCGCGGCCCTGCAATTCCACAAAAGGCCAACATCGCACTGTGGCACCGTTTTCCAAGGTCAGAAGTGATGTTTGCGACTATGATCACGGTGCTATCATGAAAAAGAATCGTTGTGTGCCGCTTTTACATACCGAGCGAGACAAAGCATTGTGACAGGCTTAGCGTGAAGCACCACTAGCTCTACTAACCACATGACACAAGTACAGTCCTGCTCCAGAAGGCTTCAGCATTAAAGGGGTAGTGAAACGAAATTTGAGCGCCGATCTTGTTGCATAAATATGGGCTAGGGACAGGCACCACCTCGGAAATATAAATATTGCGCTGTAAAACACAGGAGAACTAATTTTAAACATAATTAAACGATTTCAAATTCTCATCTGGTGGATGGGGGGAAGCTCTCGTGACATCACTTGTGCCAAAATAGCAGCGCCGTTCTGCGGCAATACGGCGTGCCGGCAGAATTCGCCTAGGCCTGAACGCGTTTGCAAAGCCTTGGCGGAGAAAGCCAAAGCGTAGTTGGCCACAGTGAGCTCGTTCTCGTTGCGGCTCTTTGCACGACACGGCCCGAGCATGCTTCTGGCACGGCCGGTATTAGTTGCTGCCAGTCGCGAGCTGCAAGCCGACGTTAAAAAGGATATGTTTGAACTACGAGGGTGTCAGCAAGAGCCACGCAAATGCCAAATACCTGTTCACACTCGGAGCGGACACGCGCGTTTGATCGAAGTGCTGGATTCGCTCTGTTAGACCGCGTTTCGGTAAGCGCTTCTGGACCGATCTTTTACGATTGCAACTCGATACTGACATGACACTCCGCAAAGAAAGGTTAGACCGACATCGCGTAGCTCCCACGAACTGCTATAGCTCGACACTGACGTAGCGTCGAGTCAGAATAAAAATGGCATACTAATAACAGAGTGTACAATACCGAGTTGCCAAGGTAATCCGTATGGCGTTTATTTGAGCTCTATATCACACAAAACAAGAAGATAGAATCAATGAGAGTCCCTTTTCGACGACAGCGTTCGTCACCGCTGTCTCGGAAAACAAGGAGATCGAGATGACAAGGGGAAAATATTGACCTCTGAAATTTAGTTCAGGGATCAAACTACTCATCCGGTAAGGGTCCACAAGGGTCGCGCGGGCATATTCCATTCAGCAGGCCAGCCGGTCATGGACAGACGGTCTTGGCCAAGGACCGCCGGAGCAACGGTGCGCCGAGTCGATGTTGCTGCTAGGCCTACTATATTCTGCCGAGCTCGCTCGGTCGGCAGAATCGTGGCTGTTGTAGCTCTTCTCGTGTGTTTGTGGATCCTGCGTTCTTGATAGTCGAGGTCTGTTTTAAGTACTCCTTCCTTTTTTCTTGCTCGTTGAAGTCGGGACGCACGAGACGAGCACGAAGAAAAATAAATGTCCGTTGGTGGCCGATACCAAGTAACTGAGCGACGCTGTCGGCCTTGTTGATTTGATCGTAAAAAGTGCGTAAGACAGCTTCGGAGCTGTCGTAGGATTCTGTCGTAACCTGCGCAAAGGTTACGACAATTTCGTTTCGAGAGCACGGGTTTTCTCTCAAATTTGTCGTACGCACTTTTTTCGTCGTGAATTCGCTTTGAGAATCCGGCCCCAGAGCTGGTTTTGTCAGTGCTGCCGTGGTTGCCGACTTGCCGTGGTCCCGTGGTGCAGCGTGCGTGCAGCCCTTGCACATCTCAAACGGCCACGTTGTCACAGGTCGTAAATTGTCGACGCGCCACCAAGTGGCAACGCTCGTAACCACAACATTCACGCCGTAGCCTTTCCCGACCGGCACAAGTGACGTCACGAATGCGCCCAATATCCCAAGACGCATCGCGCTCTCCGATGGCCGATTTTTGAGCGCGCGCCCAATCGGGCCCATCAGGGTGAAAAATATAGCCATCCGTTCAAAATACAAACGCGCGATTATGATTTATGAATATCATTGATCATATTGAACCTATTTCTGACCATAATAGGTGTATTTCAAGTTTCGCTTCAGTATCCCTTTAAAGCGATTAAGTCTTGGGGTCGCGGAGAGGCAATTGGAAATGCCTTTACGCATTGCTTCCTTGTGCACCACTCTTCAGCACACTACAGCCGTAAGAAAGGTCTTGCTGGGTGGAAAACTGGGTGGACGTGCAGGAAAGATTGCAGCGTGCTAGGCAGGTTTTCACAGAAGCTTCTTGACACCGACCTGGAGGAGTACCAGAACCTGCGGCGCATCAACTGGGCAAAGTTCTTGCAGCTTCTTTCACGAGTGGAAAATAAGAGTGGCTCGACAAAATGAAACAGCGAATGACAAAACACAGTGGTGCACTATCTTTGTTTGGCTTATTCGAAAACAAAAATATTGCTGTGCTGTTGGTACTCTACTGTACATAAACGCTTTTTCTGTTACTCACCCGCCAGAAATCTGCGCGTGAAAAGGCACTCTGCCCTCACAGTCTGGGCGTCCGCTGACGAGGTGCAAATCGTAGGAATAGCCGACATGATGGTAATGTGACAAACGGTCCACGGATGAAAATTGCGATTCGATCCATCATGTGAATCTACCATTATTTGTCAATTATCCTAATATGATCATTTGATCTTAAGAAAGAGCAATTGTTCTTTAAAACAGTGTAATGAAAGTAAGTTTTTATTAACAGTGCCTGCTCCTTTCTTTGACAATGGAATGGTACGAGTCTTGGTAAAACAGAAACTTCCTGTAGATCAGACATTGCAGATTGCAGACGTCTGCTCATTCCATGCTCAAACATGAGCTTGTATTGGCAATGCCAACCACCTGTGTATGATCTGAAAATTCCTTAAAGGGATACTGAATCAGAATTTCGAGCTCACAAAACTAGACTGGACGGATAGGCGGGACGCTGCAAAACCCAAAAACATCACTCATACAGCAATATCTCTAACGGATTGCCGTATTTTTAGAAAAGAAATTCGCGATTGAACACGGCTGACAAGGCCGACGAGACAAGGCACGTCACGATTCCCATTCCCTCTTCACCTCGCTACATCTCGTGTCGAGTTGGTGAATTGAAGCAAGAAGCAGAGAAGTGAGGCCGCTTCCCCTCATTCTCAAATTTTCTCGTAGGACAATTACGTCAAAGACCTCACTTGATCGCGCCCTTCATTTCCAAAAGTACGGCCATCCGTTTGAGATATCAATGTTTGAGTGATGTTCTGCAGTCCGTAGCGTCCCGTTCAACGCTTCTACAGCCTTATTTAGCGAAATCCAAATTTCGGTTCAGTAGCCCTTTAATGACTGTGATCAAGGGAGAGTAGTTTCTGCTGTGAAGAACAGGATGGAGTAAAAGGAAAAGTGTCTCGACGAACAATGAATGCTCCGGGTTACCCATTCGGCCAAATTTCTGCAACATGAACCGGGCTTTAACTGAAAGACGTAGGATAAGCACTTTGAAATCTTTAGGATTTGCCAAGGGATGGAATAAATTAAATGCACAGAAAAGCAGGGGAAGGAGAATGGCAAGAAAATTTTGGGGCTTGTGTTTTTACATTTTTTTAAATTGTTTGTGCAGGAAGCATTACTGAAACAGCACTTCAGTCCTGGGGCTACAATTCATTGCTAGTCAAAGCCTGTTTCCAGAGATGCGAAATCAGGTGAGCAGCTTTTTTTTAAAGAACATTAAGTGCTTTTTAAAATTACCCTCCAATCCTAAAATGTTGTCCATCCATCCGTGAATTTGCCGCTAAATTTAGCGGGGACATTGCTGCTACGTGACCTCTACACAAGCTCAGTTTCCCCTCTAAATTTAGCAGAAAAATTTATGTCACGAGACCTACAGACAATTTAAAGCTCTTCGATAAATTTAGCGGAAAAATAGACGTCATGTGACCTATGCAACCATTCAATTTCCCCCCTCTAAATTTAGCGGAAATATTCATGTCATCTGACCTATGCACTAATTCAGTTCCCCTGCTAGATTTAGAGGGACAATTGATTTCATGTGCCCTGACGTCATGTGACCTACAGACAAATTCCGGTTCCCCGCTAAATTTAGCGGGTAAATTGATGTCACATGACCTACACACCGATTCAATTTACCCACTAAATTTGGCAGAAAAATTTGTCATGTAATCTGACGTCATGTGACCTACAAGGTAAGGTTCCTGCTAAATGTAGCGGAAAAATGGATGTCACGTGACCTATGTACCAATTCAGCTTCCCCACTAAATTTGGCAGAAAAATTGATGTCGCTTGATCTGACGTCATGTGGCCTATACACACATTCAGTTTAAAATAAAAAAACCAACCTCTTAAATACTGCATTTCATGTGTTATAGCTAGGGGTGTGCAAATACTCGAATATACGAATTCAAATCGAAAAGAAAGTTCCCGAATAATTTGATTTGCGAATCGAATTCCTAGTATTCGGTCACTCGAATATTCAATATATTTGGCCAAAGACACGCGGTCGGCGCGGAGCTGACAAAAAAGTCGTTTTTTCTCCCGATGTAAGCGCTGTGATATTAGACAGACCATGCGAGAAACACCTCTTGGTCCTACCATTCCACAAAAATCTAACGCGCAGGTTAGAAAAAAGAAAATTAACGAAAGCCACAAACTTTATAGCACGCAGATTTACTCACGATCGTGACACAATCTTCCCTTGAATCACAACCGACACATCCCGTTACGCCGCGCCATGCCTAATTGTTTTTCACGAGCGCCGATGTAGAACACACTTGCCGCATTCACGGAAATCGGCGACTGCACGATCACACAAAGAAAACTACGTTAACCACGCCGATGAAACCAGCCGAGTTATCGTCGTCGTTCTTTTGGAGCTGTAAGCCGCAAATTCTGATTCTGAACAAAACTCAACGGAAAAATAGTGTGCCTAGATTTGAGAGGGTTTCCAACTGTTCGATAGCCGCGTTTGAATTACGAACTGCGAGAAGGTGACGAAAAGACGGAAGCGTTGATCGGGATCGGGCAGGCAGGGCAGGCGTCGTCGCTCTTTTGTTTGCTCGCCTTCTTTCCACGCGACAACACAACACATGCACACTTAGACCAACCTGCGCTGGAGCAGTCTTCGTAATTTCAGTTTCGCTTGCTCCCTCTTTTAAATCAAGGCTCTCTAAAACAGGATAGATAGACGGAAAAATTGATGCATAGCGGCAGTTGGACGGTGACTTGCGCCACCTAACCAAGTTTTGTTTCCTTGCTTCAGATTATATTGTTTAAGCCTGTTTACTCAGATTTAACACCTATCTGTTTATTGATGCAAAATAAAATCCCCGGTGTCCTTTTTCTTCCTTAAAATGGAGACCAAATATCGCAAAATGTCCCTTTTCTGGGATACACAAATATGTTTTTAAAAAGGTCGCGGTGTTAGGTTGTGCTTTTAACGAGAAGGCACGCGTGGCTGTAACTTTTTTTTTGTGACGTTTAGGGTAGATAGATTATGTTTGCGCCATAAAATTGGATCTTTAGTGGCCAACGTCCAACAGCAACTGCTTTTATTTTTTTACCAGAAGTTTTTTTACATTTTTGCTTTTGTTCCGTACAAGATGCATATTCTACACCAGGCACATACTCTGCACATATAATAGTCTCATTTGCAGCACACTTTGAAAAATTCCTACAAATAAAATCACTATTCGATATTCGATTGGATATTCGGCTTTTTTTTCTTGATTTGATTCGGTATTCGATTCGAAAACTACTATTTGGTATTCGCACACCCCTAGTTATGTGTTTGTGAAGGTAAAAGTTTGTAAAAGTATGTTTGAAGGTAAAAGTCACTTCGAATTTTAAATAATGTTTTTACTTTAAAGAAACAACTTTTCTCTAATTGTTTTGATTGAACACTAGTGTCATAAACTGCTCCTAGCAGCCTTGAACAGTAAAGTTTGCACATCTGGGCCCGTTTGCTCGAAAGCGCTAACCGCGGCTAGAGTTAGCCAGAGCACCTAGGAGAGGGATTTTGAAATCACGTGACGGGCTCGGTAGGGATGCGGGGAAACATGGCGGTGCCCCAATGACGGAGCGCCGCTCGCTTTGGAACTAATATGTCGTTGTAGCTGCAATATCGGGCGCTTTAGTCAGCAACGAATGGTGCAGTATGCTTCCGCTTTGCCTTACCTCACTTAAATCGCAAAGCACGAGCAATGACCTCACCGCATTGTTTAGATAGTCTTTTGATTCTGGCCATTCCTAAGCCTAAATGAATGCGGTAGCTGTCGGCATGGCAACGTCTTTGGAAAGTGGATTGCCTTGACTCAATCGGCCGGGTATTGATAGCGCACAAAAGCTGACAGCGTCCCATAAACCTTTCTCTAAATTTCCCAAGCACTGAGGTGCACGCTAGGAGTGTAGTTACACACGTTGCACGTGCTGGCGTCTGCAGTAGTAATTGTTCAAAAGCAAAAAGTCCAAAACAAATTATGCCTTGCACGTGCGTTCGTCAAAGCCTTATTATGATTATATACTTCGAATCTTTTATAAGAGGGAGGCCAGCGCGTGCAGACCGTAGAATTACACTTCCAGCGTTCTCCTCGATGCTTGGGTAATTTAGAAAAAGGTCTATTGGGACGCTGTCTGTTTTTGTGTGCTATCAATACCCGGCCGATTGAGTCAAGGCAATCCGCTTTCCAAAGACGTTGCCATGCAGACAATTATCGCGTTCATTAGGCTTAGGAATTGCCAGAATCGAAAGATTATCTAACAAATGCGGCGAGGTCATTGCTCATGCTTTGCAATATAAGTGAGGTAAGGCAAAGCAAAAGCCTACTGCAGCATTCGTTGCTGACTATGCGCCCGATATTGCAGCTACAACGACATTAGCTCCAAAGCGAGCGGCACTCAGTTACCGGGGCTCCGCCATGTTTCCCCGCATCCCTACCGAGCCCGTCACTTGATTTCAAAATCCCTCTCGTAGGTGCTGCGGCTAACTTTAGCCGCGGTTAGCGCTTCGAGCAAACGGGCCCATAAGGATTGCTAATTTTTAACAATATCTCTTGTCTCTTCCAATTGCACAAAATATGCACAGGAAGGTGAACAATACTTTCTTTTTACAGAGCCAGCTCTTCAGTTCTGGGAGCAATGAGTCAATGCCTGATTCCACAGATGCCTATCAGGTGAGCACCTCTTAACGAAACAACTTTGCTCTCATTGTTTTAATTTAACACTAGTGTGGGAAATCTTGTTTTACTACGGTTCTTGAGGTGAAAACGGGTATAGTATTTCAGGTTCATGAAGTACTTCATAGGCACCATGTTTAAAGAAACACTAAAAAAGTTCTTGAATTCAAAATAAAAACCGGCACTTTCCCCCTTGCTCGAGCGTTAGAAAGAGTTAGTCCCAGATAAGAGGCTTTGCCAGTGTTGGGTGCCTGCATTTCTTCTCTGTTTTAAGCTCCCAAACTTAATTAGAGCCACGGGCTTCGATGGCGACGATCCCCTTGTCATCGGGACACCATTGCTCGGTTATAGGGTGCACGAATAACGACAAAGCGTTGAATACCCTCTGGGGACCTATGTACTTGTACGGAATCCGGCAAGGCGAGTGCGGCTGTTTCCACGTGACCCGATTTCCGGCAGCAGTGGGTTGCATCCGTAAACCGAAAACACTTTTCCCTAATGCCATCCTTTTGACTGTGCTCAGAACATTTTGTGAATGAAGTGCGCACTGAACTTAACGCTGTACAATCGATGAACATGGGGTACGCTCGCAAGGTGCGTGCAAGTTTTCTCCTTATAATTACTGTTTCAGCTTGTAACTTTTTGTAACTGAATTTATTCTAATATTGATATTTTGAAGTGTTTACAATGACTCAGTTTTATCGACCACAACACTTAGTTGAAGGCTCATTTCCGCTGCCGGGTGTGACTGGAAATTGTCGAAAAGTTAGTTCTATCAGTTTTCCAGAATTGCTATCTCCTGGTCAATACCAGAGAGCCGTGAACCTATGTAGACCATCACAATGCGACTGGATTCTTCTTGTTTTCAAAATTAGTACATAATGTAGCCGGAAAAAAACCTTCAATTTCTGTTGCTGCAAGTTTAAACATGCTCATGCATCAATTTCGAATCGTCGAATCAGTGATCGACTCGCTCCGGCAATAGGCGCATCTCGACTTTCCTGTTTTCAGTTCTCGACAAAAGACACACTTGTCGGCACGGGATCCTCAAATAAAACGTTTATAAACACCTATGCAGGAGCATGTTTCTACATTTATAAACATCGATGCATGAGCATGTTTCAACTTTCAGCAACATAAATTGAAGGTTTCTTTCCAGCTACAATAGGTACTAATTTTGAAAATAAAAATAATGTAGTCACGCTGTGACGGTCAACAGAGGTTCACGGCTCTCGGGTATCGCGCAGGAGATCGCGATTCAGGCAAAAGCAATAGGACTAACTTTTCGACAGTTTCCAGCCACACCCAACGGCGGTAATCAGCCTTCAACTAAGTGCTCTAGATAATAAAATAAAATCATTGTAAACGCTTCAAAACATCAATATTAAGATAAACTCAGTTACAACATTTTACAAGCTGAAACAGCAATTATCAGGAGAACACTTGCACGCACCTTGCGAGCGTACTCCATGT